TTAACCATCAAGGAAATGAAAATTAAAACCATGGGATGCCTGGGTGGCTCAGTGGGTTAAGCCTCTGCCTTCGGCTCAGGTCATGATCTCAGAGTCCTGGGATCGAGCCCCACATCGGGCTCTCTGCTCCACAGGGAGCCTGCTTCCCCCTCTTACTCTCTGCCTGCCTCTCTGCCTACTTGTGATCTCTGACTGTCAAATAAATAAATAAAATCTTTAAATAAAAAAAAGAAAGAAAATTAAAACCACAATAGGATATCATTTCACAACCAATAGAAGGGTTAAAATTACAACGAATGGTAATACCAAATGTTGTTAAGGGTATGAAGCAACTGGAACTCTCTTGCTTTTTTGGTGAGATTATAAAATGGTGCAACTGCTTTAGAAAATGGTTTGGCAGTTTATTAAAAAATTGGCAAATACATTGTATGTCTCAGCAATTCCATCCCTATGTGTTTACTCAAGGGAAAAAAATGTCTTAAAATAAAACTTGCATATGAATGTTCATAGAAGCTTTATTCATAATAGCCCCAAAAGAGAAACACTACAAATGACCCTCAAGAACAGAATGAATAAACAAATTGAGGAATATCCATATAATGGAATACTATTAAATGATAAAAAGAATGAAATACTGACACAACATGGGTGTATACATTTGTCAAAAGTCATTTAACCATAGCCTTAAAAATCTGTGTTTTTATACTTCCACAAGTATATTTAACCATACTTTTTAGATTAAATAACTAAAAGAGAAGTTATATGACATGTTCAAATGACGAACAGTGATCTCCAAGTCTTTTAAGTAGAGCGTTTTCTCCATTGTAAAACAATGGCATTTTATGAGTCTTTGTTACATTATGAACAATACAGAATTTAGCAATATATTTTATATAACATTCTTCTCAAAGTAGGGTAGCCATCATTTGATTTCCAAAAGCTGTCTCATTTTATACACATAATTCTTAAGTAATTTATTCAACATATTTATTGTGCTCATACTATGTGCTAATTACTCTTTAGGCTCTGATTATGGAGTGGTGAATAAAATAGCACATGATTCCTTCACTTTCCTACACATGTGCTACATTCTTCACAAAACACTTTCTAATATATGTCTTTATGAATTTGCATTCTAGCTGGAGAGACAGACAAAAAAGATATGTAAGTAAGACCTATTAGCTAAGGATAGTGTTAAGGACAAAAAAAAAATGGAACAGAGAAGGGAATATGTAATACATGTACTGCAGGGAAAGAGAAGATGAAATATTAGATCTTGCAGCCATCAAAAACATTACTGAGAAGGACTCTTTCAGCAAAATCCTAAAAGTGAAGGAGCAAAGCATGCAGATCTGAAGATGAGATTTCCAGGAAAAAGAAAAAGCAAGTGTAAAGGTCTTAAGATGGAACATACCTTGGCTCAGAGAATAGAAGAACAGGGTGGCTGGAGTGGAGGGAACACAGAAAAAAGCATTGATGAGATCAGATTTGGCTTTTACAGGGCCTTGCTTTCTTTTTGCCACTGTGTTTCGTTGGCCCCATCCCTCCTTCACTATTGTTCTTATTTCTGCCTAGCCAGCAACGGTAACTACGGAGAGTAGTAGCCCATCCACTTCCTAGAGGCAAAAAGTTCAGTTCTATACAGAACCATTTACATCCTTAGTGCCTACAGATATTCAAGTTTGATATTCAGAATTGATATTCAAACAGATATTCAAAGTCTGAACATTACCAGTAGAGGCTGAACAAATGCTTGTCTTTCAAGAAAGCTCACAAGGCAAACTTGGCCTTTATAAAGTCATGTCTGGTCCCTCCCTCTTTCTTTTTTTTTTCCCTTTGTGCATTTGTTGGTGGTGGTGGTGTCTGTGTGTGTGATGTTTTATTTGGTTGTTGTGTTTGGGGTTTTTTGTTTGTTTGTTTAGTTTCAAGTTTTTATTTAAATTCCAGTAAGTTACCAGAGGGGAGGTGGGTGGCAGGATAGGGGCAAGAGGTGATGGGGATTAAGGAGTGTACCTGTGGTGTGATGAGCACTGAGTGATGTATGAAATTGTTGAATCACTATATTATACACATGAAACTAATATAATTCTATATGTTAACCAGAATTAAAATAAAATAAGATAAATGAAATATTGGCATGTGAAAAAAAAAAAGTCACTTCTTGATCAAAACTGCCTTTTAGCCTTGGAAACTTAGAAAGTTATTCTTGTTAGTGTCCCAGCATTTGGAAGACATGGAGAGATGTTAGTACAGTCTACAAGAAACTGACATATAAAGCTCAAGTATCAGTTTATTAGTTTATAATAATAAAACTCTAAAGGAAACCAGATAAATATCAGTCATTAGTGCTTCTTCTTCCTATAAGGAAACTACCTACCTTGGAAGCCAAATTATTTCAAGTTTAGTTAGTGAGCATGGAAATCAAAGCTGTTATCTGAGTTTGACTGTTCTTGGCCTCTGGCTCTGGGTGCTCAAAGAGCCAATCTCCATAACAGAGTTATACTTCTCAGATAAATAATCCCTACCAGTGTTGACTCCTTCACCTTTCTATGTATATACTACATTCTCCACAAAACCTCTTCTAAAGATATATTCTTTCTTTAGAAGTATTAAAATCTTCTGTGACATCTAGCTATGACTGATGATCTGGATTTCCCCTAACGGACTTTGCACAGCTCTACTCTGATCTATTCTGTATTAGTTTCACAGCTTAACTATTGAAGAATAATTTTAGAAGAATGCTACTATGCAACTGACCAAAGCTTTTGATTAACCAAAAATTTGTTTTAGTTATTTTATTTCTATGAATATATTCTATGAACAGAGGTATGAACATATTTAGTGACTATACTCTTCCTCTTCTATTGGATATATATTCTATTGGATACACCAATGAATATATATTATATATAAATATATTATGTATAGTGGATATATATTTTTAATACAGAAATATTTTCAATGTTTTAAAAAAATCTTCTTTTGAACCAGCTTCATATCTAATATGATGTTTCAGTTTATTCTAATTTATTTCTAATCATTTTCAAGTCTTTTTTTTATTTTGCCAACATATTAGCAGGCCTAATTCCACCAATTTCAATGAATTATCTGAATTCACAGAATTAAAAAAAAATTGGACATTTAAAAAGACATAAAGTTTATAGGAACTTATGTGAATTTTTTTGTGGATGAGTTTTCACTTCGTTTTTATAGCAGTACTTTGGAATACTTAGAGTGTCTTGGTCCCTGTTCCCCTGCTACTGCTGCAGAGTTGTTTCAATATAACTTATTTCCTTGGTAATCATGACTGTTTTATTTTATGTATTAAAAACATTATTCTGGGGTGCCTGGGTGGCTCAGTGGGTTAAGCCGCTGCCTTTGGCTCAGGTCATGATCTCAGGGTCCTGGGATTGAGCCCTGCATCGGGCTCTCTGCTCAGCAGGGAGCCTGCTTCCTCCTCTCTCTCTGCCTGCCTCTCTGCCTACTTGTGATCTCTCTCTGTCAGATAAATAAATAAAATCTTAAAAAAAAAACAACATTATTCTAAGGAGTCCATAGTATTCATCATACTGTTGAAAGAACCCGTGGCATAGTAAAGGTAAAGAAATTGTGCTGAGGGAGGGGCTTGGAAACAGAGATGGAGTAACCTTTGATGGGGGAAAAGCAGAGAGAAGATTCAAGATGTAGAGAAATTTGAACCCACACACAGGAATCACGGGAATGTAAAAATGGTACAGTCGCTGTGGAAAACAGTCTGGCAATTGCTCAAGTGGTTGAACACAGAATTACCAAATGATCCCTCGGTTCTGTTCTTCAGTATAGACTCTAGAGAAGTGAAAACATAAATTCACACAAAAACTTGCACATGAATGTTCATAACTGTATTGTTCATAATAGCCAAAAACTGGAAACAAATGTCCATCAACTGATGAATTGGGTAAATAAATTTTGATATTATTCTATAATGGAATATTATTTGACAGTGAAAAGGAATGAAGTACTAATACATACATACAACATGGAAGACCCTTAAAAAGATTATGCTAAGTTGAAGAAGACAGTCACAAAAAAAATGTACTGTATGATATCATTTATAAGAAATATACAGAATAGGCAAATCTATATAAAGAGAAAGATTAGTAATTTTCTAGTGCTAAGAGTGGGGGTATGGGAATGGGAAGTCACTGCTAGCAGGTACTATCTTTTGACATAATGAATATGTTCTAAAAATTGATTGTGGTAACAGTTGTACAACTCTGTGAATGTACTAAAAACCATTTTGAATTGTCCACTTTACAGGATGGATTGTATAATATGTGAATTTTATCTTAATAAAGCTGTTGTAAAAAAGAAGATTAAGTATTTTTTGTATAGATAACATTAATATCATGAATTTTTTTCCTTTCTCTTTTCTCATGGCCTGACACCAAAAACCTTGCACTTTCCACCATGCTTCATTGCTTTCCAGTGTAGCCTTGCCTAGCTCAGCATAAATATACTGTTCTACTTACTGTTATGACTACATGATCTTTTGAATCTTTGAGATGGATGGGTCTATGTTTCAGTGAACCATTGGATATAGGGAATGAAACCATTATTCCAAACTGGTAACTGTTTCGATAACTTGAAGGCACTGATCACAGATTCTTTGCTTGAATTCAGATCTCAAATATCATCACTTGTTAGCCATAAACCATGGTTGAATTACTTAAACTCTTTGATCTTCAGGTTTTTTTGTACAAAAATAGAGATAATAATATCCATCTACATCATATGGTGTTATGAGAATATAATTATGCCTAAAAAGCTCTCAGTATAGTATCTAACATGTAATAAGTTTTGAATAGCTATTATTACTGTTGATTTTTATTACCATTATTATTTACAGTGAGTAATTTCTAATCAAGTGTTCTCTTCTTTAAAGGAGTCAAAATATCCTTTATGGCTATTTACTACTTATCCTTCTCAAGCCCTGTTGATGTGTACTGTTTTTTTAATAGGTGCAACATAAGAGATATGGTGCAATTCTTAAGCGTTTGCATTGTCAGGTGAACAAAATTCAGTCAAATAAAAGACAATGGCAATGGAACATTCACCAATTGGAAAAAACTGCAGCTGAACTAAGAAAACGCATTGGAATGAAAGATTAACATGGCCAAAGGACAATGTAGAACACAGACTATGTCAACAAAAATGATAGGACAAAAGGTTGGGAAAATTCTTTGGATTCTTAACCAGCATCTACTAAGAGAGGTCTGTCTTAATAACACATATATTTTCTCTCTCTCTCTCTCTTTTTTTGAATCAGTTAATCTCTTTGCTATAGTGCCTTCCAAACCTGCAATTGATAACAGTGGATAGACAATAGGAATGCTGACAGAAGTCTGGTAGAAGACTCTGTATAAATATTTTGAGTATGTAAGATATAATTATACTCATGAATGCCTGTTTACAAACATGTTGCCTTCACTATCATATGAAATAAAAATGTAGAAAAGAAATGCATGAAGTTATAATGATTTAAATTGTTAAGATATTTTAAATGATTCTGTTTCAAACTTTTTATTAAAACTTGCTTTTTTACCACTGCCTTCACAGTAGTCCATAAATATTGACATTTACAATAATATATGTTCAATGCTTCAGGTATTTTATGTTTTTCTTTCATTCAGAAGGTAGCAACCATTTTTTCTTATTAAATAACACAATTTTAGAGTGTTGCAAGGCATAAAACTTTTTGTTTAATTTTCCGTCTTTAGTACTATTCTTTAGTACTATTCTGTGACAAAATTGAAGTTATGACATCATGTAAGGCAAATACCAGCTCTTAATTAAAAAAAAAAAGAATGTGAGTAAATATAGACTGCTGTGTATTTTTTTTTCTCACTGTAAGTCATATTCTATGTCCATGGCAACATTTCAAAATTTAACTTGTCCATGTTAAGATAAAAGTGCTCCTTTTTTTGGCTCCACTGAATCAATTTTTTAGGATTAGAAAAAATAATATTGAATATAATGGTCTTTAAATATTTACTTTTTAGATTAAATCCTTTCAAAACAACAACATCAAAAAGGTATCTTAAGTTCATTTTCTTTTCACCTTTCTTCATGCCTAAGACTAAATAAGGGGAGAGCTGATAAAGAACCTGATATTAATAATCTTGCTATGTCTAACATTAATAATCCTATTATGAATCAACATGGCTTATTATAACTAACTTCAAATGGCTTTGCTATAACACAATCAACTTTGGCAGGCAACTCAGAAATAGAGTTACAAATAAGAACAGTTAAACCCGGGATAGGAGCAAGATGGTGGAGGAGTAGGAGACCTCAATTTCGTCTGATTCAAGGAATTCAGCTAGATAGCTATCAAACCACTCTGAACACCTATGAACTCAATAGGAGATCGAAGAAAAGAATAGCAGCTACCCTATGAATAGAAAAGCTACCACTTTCTACAAGGTAGGATGTGCAGAGAAATGAATTTGAGGCAATATTTGGAAAGATAGACTGCAGGGTATTTGGGAAGATAGGAAGGCTCTGCCAGCTGGCTCCTGGCAAATGACAGGACAACAGAGCACAAAATCAGAACTTTTAAAAGTCTGCCCCACTGAGGGATGTTACTTTGGTGGCTTAGTGGAGAGTGGAACCCTCACTGGGACAGTGTGGTTTCAGGAACCTCAGATTCACAGAGAGACTGGGGATGTCTGAGTGCAGCAGAGCTCCCAGGTATCAGAGCAGGGAAGCCGGTTGCAAAGACAGAGCCATGGAGTGGGATCTCAGCTCAGGGTTGCCATAAACCATGATCCAATGCACAGTCGGGCCACTACTCTTTGAGTAGAGACCCCAAAAGTGGCAGATCCAAGGGATACTCCCCCTCCTCCTCTGGGAGGAATTGTGCAGAAGCACATTGAAGAAATCTGCTGGGTTTGGAGACTCCAAATGGGGCCGTGCTCCAGAGATAGAAATGGTTGGTCACAAGCTGGGTGATTATGGAACATTGCTAAAGACCAGGGAGACAGGCACGGTTGACTGCTCTTCTCTGAGGGCTCACTAAAGAGGGCAGCTCCTGGGATCTCACCTCCTCCTGGCCAGAGATTGGGAGGCTGCCATCTTCATTCTCCTCCTTCAAACCTATATGGAAAGTGTTCAGGGAACAAAAACTACTGAGAGCAAACCCAAGCAGATTACTTATCCTGGTCCCTGGCAAGGGTGGTGCAATTCTGCCTCAGGCAAAGACATTTGAGAATCACTGCAAGAGACCCCCTCCCCCAGAAGATCAGCAAGAACATACAGCCAAGACCAAGCTCACTGATCAATGAGAACTGTGGAACTCCAGAACTAAGGGAAAGCAACACATAGAATTCATGCCTTCCCCCCATGATTCTATACTCTCTCAAAGTTAATTTCTAAAATTTTCTTTCTTTTTTCTTTTTCTATTTTCTAAATTTTTCTTCTTTCCTTTTCAACCAACATCTTATCAATTACTTTTTAAAAATCTTTTTTAATTTTCATTTTTAAAATGATAGACTATCCCTTCACTGTATTTAACTTTATTTTTTGGTATATATATGTTTTTTTTTTAAATTTTGGGATACAGTTTCTTCCAATAGACCAAAATATACTCTAAATCTACTGTATGGCTTTGTTCTAGTCTCCCACCTGATCACATTCTCTCCTTTTTTAAAAATGATTTTCTTTTTTTTTTTAACCAACTCCTTATTTTATCAATTCCTTTTTAAAAATCCTTTTTAATTTTTAACTTTCATGTTTACAGTCATATTCCATCCTTTCATCACATCTAACCTTTTTTTTTATACATATAAGTTTTTCTTTAAAATTTTGAGAGGCAGTTCTTCTAACAGACCAAAATACACCCAAAATCTAGTGTGTGGCTCTGTTCTGTTTGCTAGCTTGATCATAGTCTTTTTTTCCCTTTCTTTTCCCCCTGGTTTCAGGTCTCTTCTGATTTGTTTTGTGTGTATTTTTCTGGGGTCATTGCTATCCTTTTAGCATATTGTTCCCTCATTCATCTATTCTTCTCTGGACAAAATGACAAAAAAAAAAAAAAAAGAAAGAAAAGAAAAGAAAATGAACAAGAGGCAGTACCAACTGCCAGGGACCTAATCACTATGAACATTAGTAAGATGTCAGCAATAAAGTTCAGAGTGATGATTATTAAGATAGATAATAATCTGGGCTTGAAAAAAGCTTAGAAGATACTAGAGAATCCCTTTCTGGAGAAATAAAAGAACTAAAATCTAACTATGTCAAAACCAAAAATGCTATAATGACATGCAATAAAAAATGGAGGCTCTAGCTGCTAGGATAAATGAGGCAGAAGAGAGAATTAGTGATATAGAAGACCAAATGATGGGCAATAACGAAAATGAGAAAAAAAGAGATAAACAACTAATGGATTATGAGGGGAGAATTTGAGAGATAAGTGATACTATAAGATGAAACAATATTAGAATAATTGTGATCCCAGAAGGAGAAGAAAGAGAAAGGGGGGGGTAGAAGTTATATTGGAGCATATTACGGTGGAGAACTTCCCTAATTTTAGGAAGGAAACAGGCATCAAAAGCCAGGAGACACAGAGAACCCCCTCAAAATTAATAAAAATAGGTCAACACCCCGTCATCTAATAGTAAAACTTACAAGTCTCTGAGACAAAGAGAAAATCCTGAAAACAGCTTGGGACAAGAGGTCTATAATATACAATGTTAAAAATATTAGATTGGCAGCAGACCTATGCACAGAGACCTGGCAGGCCAGAAAGGACTGGCATGATATTTTCAGAGCACTAAATGAGAAAAATATGCAGCCAAAAATACTATATCCAGTAAGGCTGTCATTAAAAATAGAAGGAGAGATAAAAAGCTTCCAGGATAAACAAAAACTAAAAGAATTTGTGAACACCAAACCATCCCTACAGGAAATATTGAAAGGGGTCCTCTAAGCATAAAGTAACATAGACCAGAAAGGAACAGACACAATATATAGTAACAGTTACATTACAGGCAATACAATGGCACTAAAGTCATATCTTTCAATAGTTTCCCTGAATGTAAATGCCCCAATCAAGACACAAGGTATCAGACTGGATAAATAAAAAACAAAACCCATCAATATGCTGTCTGCAAGATACTCATTTTAGACCCAAAGACACTTTCAGATTTAAAATGAGAGGATGGAAAACCATTTATCATGCTAATGGACATCAAAAGAAAGCTGGAGTGACAATCCTTATATCAGACAAATTAGATTTTAAGCCAAAGACTATAATAAGAGATAAGGAAGGACACTATGTCATACTTAAAGTTCTGTCTAACAAGAAGATCTAACAATTTTAAATATCTGTGCCCCTAACATGGGAGCAGTCAATTATATAACCCAATTAATAACAAAATCAAAGAAATACATCAATAATAATACAATAATAAGAAGAGACTTTAACACCCCCCTTACTGAAATGGACAGATCATTTAAGCAAAAGATCAACAAGGAAATAAAGGCCTTAAATGACACCCTGGACCAGAAGGACATCACAGATCTATTTAGAACATTCCATCCCAAAACAACAGAATACACATTCTTCTCTAGGGCACATGGAACATTCCCCAGAATAGATCACATCCTGGGTCACAAATCAGGTCTCAACCAGTACCAAAGGACTGGGATCATTCCCTGCTTATTTTCAGACCACAATGCTCTGAAACTAGAACACAATCACAAGAGGAAATTGGGAAAGAATTCCAATACATGGAAGCTAAAGAGCATCCTACTAAAGAATGAATGGGTTAACCAGTAAATTAAAGAAAAATTGAAAAAATCCGTGGAAACAAATGAAAATGAAAACACAACTGTTCAAAATCTTTGGGACACAGCAAAGGCAGTCCTGAGGGGACAGTATATAGCTATACAAGCCTTTCTCAAGAAACAAGAAAGATCTCAAGTACACAACCCAACCCTATTTAAAGGAGCTGGAGAAAGAATAGCAAAGAGAACCTAAACCCAGCAGGAGAAGAGAAATAGTAAAGATCAGAGCAGAAATCAATGAAATGAAACCAAAAGAACAGTAGAACAAATCAATGAAACTAGGAGCTGGTTCTTTGAAAGAATTAATAAGATTGATAAAGTCCTGGCCAGACTTATCAAAAAGAAAAGAGAAAGAACCCAAATTAATAAAATCATGAAAGAAAGTGGAGAGATCACAACCAACACCAAAGTAACACAAACAATTATAAGAACATATTATGAGCAACTATATGCCAGCAAATTAGACAATCTGGAAGAAATGGATGCATTCCTAGGGACATATAAACTATCAAAACCGAACCAGGAAGAAATAGAAAACCTTCCTGACCCATAACCAGTCAGGAAGTTGAAGCTGTCATCAAAAATCTCCCAAAAAACAAGAGCCCAGGGCCAGATGGCTTCCCAGGGGGAATTCTACCAAACATTTAAAGAACTAATAATACCTATTCTCCTGAAACTCTTCCAAAAATAGAAATGGAAGGAAAACTTCCAAACTCATTTTATGAGGCCAGCATTACCTTGATCCCAAAACCAGAAAAAGACCCCATCGAAAAGGAGAGTTAAATATCCTTGATGAACATGGATGCAAAAATTCTCACTAAAATACTAGTCAATAGGATCCATCAGTACATTAAAAGGATTATTCACCACGACCAAGTTGGATTTATTCCTGTGCTGCATGGTTGGTTCAACATCTGCAAATCAATCATTGTGATACAGTACATTAATAAAAGAAAGAACAAGAACCATATGATACT